ACGCACAAGATAACTTACTGGAAGAAACAGAAGTATTATCATGAGAACCAGAACAAGACAGCCTGATAACAGTCATGTGAAAATAATAATTAAAAAGTATGTATGTATAATAGAAATAAAAATATATTAGAATTAGTGTAACTCAGTGATCCAAACAAAAAATCATCCATAGCTGATTAGCAATCATGAAATGAGGTCTGGGAGTTTTTAGGTTTCATTCTTTTATTACATTTTTTTCTTAGATGTGTTAAAAGGTCACCATGGCAGCCTGGGTCTCCAACATCAGCTACACAACGCAGCAAGTGTAAATTCCAAATACCTGTCTTGACCACTTCATGTAGGGTTTTGTACTTTAAACAGCTAGGCCAAACCTGTTTTTTTTTTCTCCATAGCCATTTGGCTCATTGGTGACAGCTACGTGAGCCGTGGTGCCCAGAGAGCTGCAGAGACCCTCAGAGACAACCTTGGCCTCCCTGACGTCTGTGTCTCCTGGTTCGGTTGGGGCGGACTGAGATGGAATGACCTTCTCCCCTTCTTTTTCAACTCCATGCATGGCTGATGTCCTTCTCATCCACTGTGTCGGCAATGACATGGGGGTGGTCAGCAGTGTGAAGCTGGTGAACATGAAGGAGGACCTGCACCGGCCTCACCTTCTACACCCTCATATCACACTGTTGAGAACTGTTCTTCCTTCACAACCCAATGTTCCACTCACTCTGCAGCTCTCTGGGCCCCTTTTATTATTTTAAGTATTTTTTAAATGTCCCGACACTTTGTGTCCTGTTATTTTATAAAATGTGATGTAAAAAAATGGTTTTGCTCAATTACTGGAATTTCTTTGGTGAAGACAAAAAAGGAAGGAAGAATCATTTATGCCAAGTTGTTTCTACAACAGGCCCATTTTAAGTCCAACAGTTTCTTAGCAGTAAAGGACATAGGTAAAGGTGTTCTTTACTAACTTTACTTGGTTTAAAAATCTTACTAAAATAAAAAGAGTGCCGTATTACAAAACCCAATCATACTTGTTATGTAAATATTAGCTTTGTAGATATTTTTACAAATAGATAATTGTGTGGTAAAAAAAAACATAAACTTAAATAATTTGTCATTCTTTATTGAAAAACAAAATAGATGAGTGACTGGCCACCAGCTGTTTTTGTTCTCCTGCCAGATGAGATGATGGTTACAGGTGTGAGGATGCACCTTCTGTTATAGCCACATTAGAGGAGTGCAACCTGGCTGAGGAGGAGAGAAGGAAAAACCACACAGAGTAGAATACTAACTAATAATTACAATTTCTTGTTGTGTAGCTCACCTTATGTGCACTTTAAGACCTGGACCTGTGCAGGGGCGGATTTAGCAATTTGGGGGCCCAAGGCGAACACAGACATGGGGCCCCTTACACTAAATTTTCAACAATCTTACCTTTAACTGGATTTGCGAAACTCCCCCCTCTTCTGACATGAGTTACTTTCCCTTTTTATTAGTCCTCCTCTTTTTTCCTGGTTTTCCCTTCCTTTGAGTGCCTTCAATATTTGCTCTGCTTTAGAGCTGAAACAACTAATCAATTTAATCGATTATAATCGATTATTAAAATAGTTAACAACTTTTTTAGTCATTGATTAGTTGTTTAATAATCACATTTTACCGCATCAAGTCTATTTTTACCACAATCTGACATCGGTTACAATCTGTTCAATTTGCCGCCAGTGTGTGGCAGTAATGAGCCACTGATCTACCAGTGGAGCCGTAAAAGAAGAAACGAGCCAATAAGTGCCCTCGGTGTTCATGACGTAACACGTTACTGACGCGCATCTTGCTGTGAGAGATGGCGGAACAAGAAGAAATACGGAAGAAAAATAGAAGCGACAATACTGAAGAGAAACCTTGGACAAATACCTCACGAGTATGGGAGCACTTCACTCTAGATGCTATGAAAAGACGGGTGACCTGCAAAATATGCAAAAACCATCTAGCATGGCACGGAAGCACGACGTCCCTAAGTGAACATTTGAGACGAAAACGTGGGGGCAAATGCAGCAGAGGAAACGCCAGCCCGGTAAGTAACAGAAAATAAACAAGCTAAATATAGTGGTCCATCACTACACGCAGATCAAATTTGGGACTTAGTGCTTTAGCTGAGTTCGTTATAGTGGATGTTAAACATGTTTTTTTTGCCGTGTCAGTCTACGGTGTTCTACTTCTGATTGACTAGATGCAATCGTGAATCTCCTCCGTGTTGTGAATCATGCGCTTGCCAAATTTAGCACGTCTGTTTATAAGAATGTTCTCGTTAAGAGAAAAACGGCACAAACCCATAACTATGTTCCTCATTCTAAAATGGTCAACTCCGCGGTGAAAAATATGCAGACGAGCTGTGTCCAGGTGAATATAACGCGGCATAGTTGTACGTTTTCAATTTTTAAATACAGGAGAAATTCAGAAAGTCTTTTTTTTTTACTATTAAAAGGCTGTTTTACTATCTAACACTGTAAAACGCCTCACAACACATTTTTGTCAAAATAAATGATCACTGTATATTGTTAATTAATTCAAATAATATAATATTGATTTAGTGTTGTAGTGTGTGTGCTGCTTTATTTTATATGTGTACTTATTTCAGTCTATTTGTGTTTCTCATGCAGAAAAAAAAACAAGCAACGATGGACAACTACATGGGGAACAAGACACTCACCCCCCAGCAATGCATACCACTTACAAACTCTATTCTAGATTCTACATTATTTTTTATGGAATTTACCTCTTATATTTTGATGCCAAAAAATTATTCTGGACTGATATTTTGCACTGTTTAGCTCATTTTACACTGCTGACTGTGTTCGTGTGCAATAAAATAGATTGCAGTCAACTGCACAATTCTGTTTTTCTTTTTCTTAACTGAAATGTATTCATCATTGTTCTCCTGCCAGATGAGATGATGGTTACAGGTGTGAGGATGCACCTTCTGTTATAGCCAAGACTGAACACTTTTCCTGATATCCAAGTGGTTGTCTGACTTTATAGATCAAAATGACAGATTTATGTTATGTTAAGTTATTCATTGCCAAACCAAAGCCTATTGTTGCACAACACCACATATAAGTATTTCTTCTCTCTCACGCAGCAAGATGAAGTTGATGAAATGGAGGAAGAGGAGGAAAACAACCCCCCTGCACCTAACCCCAAGCAATCCAGTGCTTTGGAGTCTCTCCTTGGGGAAGACTACAGACCAAGAGAGGAGAGGGGGCATGCAAAGAAAACTTGTGCAGAGGTGGCAGAAGATGAGATCAAGAGGTACAGGGCGAGGAAACCTGCAGGACTGCAGGACAATCCTCTGGTCTGGTGGAGAGAGAATGAAAAAGTATCCTCTTTTGGCTCGCATGGCTAAGCGATATCTCTGTGTCCTTGGGACCAGTGTCGTATCTGAGAGGGTTTTTTCAACTGCAGGTGATATAATTACTGCAAAAAGAAGCTGTCTCACCCCTGGTCATGTGAATCAGTTACTTTTCCTGCAGAAGAATCTTACCATTCGCAAGTGATGTACATAAGGACAATTTACACAGTCTGTCTTTAGTCAAGTTTATGTTCCTGTTCTATTTTGTTTGTACATTAATATGGAATGCCTTTCAGTTTTCACAAGTTTACATTTTTGTACTTTATCAGCATTTGAATGTTTCTGGATACCTGAAGTGTTTAAGTTTTTGCACAAGACTGTGAAACAGTTGTTTAAGGTTCTGTACCTTTTAATTTCTATTTGCACAAAGTAAAACGAAAGCAGTTAATTTTGAGCTTTCTGTTTCTGTTTACATTTGCACTGGCAAATAATGTCTTTTGTCATATGGTAAAACTTATTTGAATAAAAATGGCATTTGCTTTCAACAGCAATATCTTTTGGCTGAATTCCTAACGTCTGAATTTAATAATGTCCTAGAAAACACTGGAAACACTTGACATCATTAATTACCTTTCTCAGTGGCCCAGTGGTAGAGTGTCCGCCCTGAGACTGGGAGATCAGGGGTTCGATTCCAGGTCGGGTCATACCAAAGACTTTGAAAAAATGAGACCCAATGCCTCCCTGCTTGACACTCAGGATTAAGGGGTTGGATTGGTGGGTTAAACCACCAAATAGTTCCCGAGCGCGGCTGTGTCTGCAGCTCACCCCATCCCCCAGGGGATGGGTCAAATGCGGAGAACAAATTTTGCACACACACCTGTGTGTGTGACAACTAATGGGACTTTATTATTTATTTATTATTATTATTACATTCTGTGAGAGGGACTGATCTTTACAACCATGTTTAATGGCCAATATTTCATTAATTTATCACTGAATGTCAATATTATCAATACACTGCACAACTATGCAGTCATGGAATTAAGGTAACTGCAAAAATGTTTTTAAATTGATGACCCGAATCGAATCGATATCGGATCAGAATCGATCAGGTTACATAGTGATAATCGATTCTAAATCTCAAGAATCGGAGTCGACTCGATTCTGGAAATTTGAATCGATACCCAGCACTACTAAATATCTACGTTTTATTTTTTTTTAAGTTCGCCATTATCCGTCACAGCTAGGTGGAAATGCTATTTTATATAATTAAATTATATTAATGTTAACACATTTGTAGCAAAATTTATAAAAATATACCAAAATGGGAGGTCTTCTCAAAGGGAACAGTGCTGTTCATAAGGGCAACTCCTACTCATGTTTGCCATTTTCCTGCATCAACACATCCGACTCAGTATTTGAATTATTTGTTAAGCATGTCTTCAAGTTCTGTAGAATCTTGTTAATCAGTCAATGATTACCATCTGGAGCACACAAAAGTGTAAGACATGCTAGATAGTTGGACTGCAAGAACCAGAGTTGGACACCACTGGATTAGGGTGTGTTTATGTGTTATTTTCTAAATCTGTATCCTCTACTGCCACTTCAAGTGGTGTTACCTTCAATAACCAGTTCATGCACACTGTTGTTTCCAGCTGTAACTCACCTTTAGGGCGTATTTATCACCGGTGCTCTTCTGGTAGATTTCCAACACTTTTCCATTGATGCCCAGCCCCAACACCTGGTTGGTTATCTTGTAGTCTTCTGTGATGGCGTTCTTCTTGATTTGTAGGTTGGATTTCGAAATGAAGGGGGCAAACTGACCCGGAGGGTTCTGTTGCCCGCTTGGGTTCTGCTGGCCCGCTGGGTTCGGAAACCGTGGCTGGTTCTGAGGGTTACTTAGCATGTTCATGTTCTGGGCTTAGAGATAATCAGTCGCCACCACTCAACAACACCGCTCCGTCGTTTCCCTTTGAACACAAATTGGGTCTTCCCGACTTAGCTGGTGACCGAACACCGTAAGAGACTAAGGCCCGGAGACAAGCCGACAGTAATATTAAAATTACAGATTAACAAAGTTACTTGGTAATCCGAAAAATATCAGATAAGCTATTTTTAGCATGCTAGCTCGAGCCTATTCTATGACCTATGATTCCCGGCTAACAACTAAGCTAACTGTTAGCTTATCCATCTCCGGTAGTGTCCGCCTTCCACCGGTTCCTCAAAAAATCGAAGAGACGAAAACGCTTCAGGAACTTATTAAAACACCCTTCAAGTCGCTTAAAATGTTGTGTTACGCTACTAAAATCAAGAAATCTCACAATTCGGCTTTGAAAATACCAAAACCACCTAGTAAAATAACGTGAAATGAGAGGAAAAGTCCGACCAAGCTAACGCGACAAACACACTTCACTTTTCGGTGGACAGGGTTTACTCATGACGTCATGGCAGTTTTTTTTTGTGTTGTTCTTAAAGGAGAAGTACCACAGAGGAAATGACCGGATTATCTGGCTCGCTGATAATCGCCAGAGAATCATAAAGTAAACCACGTTTTATATGTTTGTTGAGTTTGATTGTTTGGATTGTATTCAGTACATAAACAAGGGGACGTCCACACGGCCACTAACAGCGTTTAAAGAGCAACAGCGAGGGACCAAAATAGACGCAGACTAGTCTGTGAGAGGAGAGGAACAGGTTACCTCAAGGTTAGGGCTTTTCTGTTTCCACATCACTGTTTCACATCAAAATGAATTCAACTCATTAATCCGGTTTCAGTTTTCTAGTTGGGAAGACGCACTGCTACCAAACAAATGTTAATGGGATAATTTAAGCCATCTGAAGTGGGAATGAGCATTTAGGGTAGACCCAAATAAAGGATCGGCCCAATAAGGAATTAGGCACTGAACACTCATTTATAATTTTATATATTTTTTCTTTTTTATTTTTTAACAGTCGATTTAAAACCACACGCATACATGACAAACATTTCTTACTTTTATTATCTCCACTGGGAGATTATTGGTGTCAAAACTTAATTGATAAACATGTTTTTCTTAAAGTAAATTGTCCTGAAGACAAGATTGTTTGATTTGTGGTACTTAAATAATATTCATTTAAAGTCAATAGTTTGATTCAGTTTTTAAATGAGAGTTTGGGACGTGTAGCAGTGTCGTTTAGAATTGCACTTAGATCATTCAGTATTTTTCATTTAGATTCCTCTTCATGAAATTACACTTTAGGATAAAGAGAACACGAAATGAACTGATCAGATATATTAGTAAAACATTTACACAAATGTAGGTGTGTGTGTGTGTGTGTGTGTGTGTGTGTGTGTGTGTGTGCGCGCGCGCGCGTGTGTGTGCGTGTGTGTGTGTGTGTGTGTGTCCTCATAATCACACTAAGTGCTAAAATGAAGCGTACAATTCCAGTACTGGTGGGACTTCCAGCTTATAAAGTAATTATCTCATCAACACAATAAGACTTTTTTTATTTTCCCTCATCCAGTCCCTATCTAATCTGATTTAATAAACTGTTCTTTTTTCTCATTGATAAACAGATGTTTGAATAGTTAGTGCTTGTCAAGTCTAAACTCTAAAAACATTAATTTATAACAATAAGCATAAAACACAATTATATTAACAGAGAATTAAAAACATGTTTGAATCACCAATGAATTCATTATAAACTCTTAGCTTTGTATTTTCGTCTTGATTGTTTAAATGTATTTGCAGAACCTCATTTCACCACTAGATGGCAGCATAATCTTGATATTCAATAGGCAACCTTGTCGTTGGGCATTTTTATTTCCGCAACAGAAGTGCTGAGGCATGAAAAGTGTCCTGTGTTCCCAACTGAAATGATTCAGTGTGTCAGGTAAAGTTTCTGTAGGTTGAACTTTGAATGTACAAACCTGACATTTGTTTGTTTGTTTTGCCTTGTATGCATGTGATGTGCTCCAGTGCACATTTTCCAAGTTATTCAAAAACGATAACAAAGAATTGTGAATAAATTGTACATTTACACACTCTTGAACGAAGTTATTTATTAATGGATTAGAGAGACTGGGACTTATCTCACACATTTTAGTCTATTTATTAATGAAGTAACGTTTTAGAATTCTTTAAAATAGACAAAAGGTTATAATCTGTATGTTTTATCTATGAGTCTAAGGTGTTGCAGTTTTCTTTAAGGAGGCCCTGCAATAAAGGACAAATTTTGGCTGATTACGTTTTTCAACTAGCCTAGAAACCTAGACAAACCAACAGTTGCAAAAGATTTGCTCAGCAGGTTGGTCAGGCCATGCTTCATGGTAGTCTCAGCAGCAGATCAACTATTTGTCTGAGCAGTTTTGTTTCTTGCCAATCACAGTGCTCCATGTTTGTTGGATCTGGCTTAGCACCATAGCTGCAACCGATAAACTACAAAGATGGTATTGACTCAGGAATGAGGCTTGTTTGAAATGGCTTTGGCATCAACTTTCGACTTCTTTGACGATGTAAGGCGGACTGCACCACTGACTGATTTCCAAACAAATAAACACATCAGGTTGTTTGTTTCTTCAACTGGTCCTAGCACTGCCTAATTGTGTGTAGTTACAGTTTGACAGACAACCATAGATTATGCCCCATGACCCACTGTCCTTTTGAGTGGCTCTTCAAGGACAGAGGATTGTTGAGCAGGGTTGGTGGTTTGTCCCATGGGGTCCATGTTGCAGTGGTGAGGTGGGGCTCATTCAACAAAAATCGAAAAAACACGTCAAGTCCATTGGACTCCATCGGGGTGGGGATTAGGTTCTTTCCATGGTTAATGGCCAGACAATATATTTACATTTATAGGATGGCTTTTCAGGCTATCTCTCAATTTTTAAGCTTCTAAAAAGATCCTAAAAAAATAAATAAACAAATTTAAGGATTTCACCAAGCACCTTATTACCACAGGATATATAATAAGTCATGTGCTTAATTCAAAGTACAAGGACAGCTTCTCCATATAGAAAAATGTGGCTGGCACAGAGAGAACCCTGTACTTTTGTTAAGAATGCATTTCACTGCAATTACCTTGAGTTATGTAAGAGGAGTGGCACACATGCCCTCAAGATCACCATACGTACACACGCAGTACAGTTGCAGATGCTTTCTACATATCTACACATGTATAAATATAGACACGCACATTGAATACACCAGAGAAGGGAGTTTTAACAGGTTTGTTAGGGACAGAGTGTGTTCTGACGACTTCTCCACAGGCATTACGAGAAAATGCGTCATAGGCCCACGCAGTGTGGTTTTATCACACCAGTGGCAAATATGTTTTATCATCTGAGCTAGACTGAGGCTAAGTGTCTTCTGGTGTGAAGATTGGAATTTTATTATTATTATTACTGATGTGACAACTTTCATACTGAAGTGGAGATGGATCATACTTTGCAGAAGTGGAACAGACCTGCATCAGTGAACAGAACATGTTTAGGATTGAACTCCTCATTGCAGCTTAATATCATTGTTTTTTTTTTTTTTTTTTTGTGTCTCAATTAACAAAAAGATGTGCATTTCGGCTTCATCAGAACGTGATCTTCGGCTTTTGCTGGAGCAGTTCGCAGCCGAGTGTGAAACAGCTGGGATGAGAATCAGCTCCTCTAAATCCGAGACCATGGTCTTGATTCGCAAAAGGGTAGAATACCTTCTCCGGGTCAGGGATGAGGTCCTGCCGCAAGTGGTCATTCTCTCAATGTAAATGGGGGGTGACATTGTTGTGTTTTTATAGATTATTGATTTAGTTGTTTTTATTGGGTTATTGCGTATATTGGGTTTTGTTAATTTGCACGGATTAATTTATCATCCATATTGTCTGGACAGCACTTTGACAAGTGTGAACTTTTTAAAAGTGCTTTATTAATAACTGTATGGTGTGGTGTGGTATGATATGGTATGGTATGGTATGGTATGGTATGGTATGGTATGGTATGGTATGGTATGGTATGGTATGGTATGGTATGGTTTGGTCTGGTCTGGTCTGGTCTGGTCTGGTATGGTATGGTATGGTATGGTCTGGTATGGTCTGGTATGGCATGGCACAGCACGGTACAGTACGGTATGGTATGGTATGATCTGGTCTGGTCTGGTCTGGTCTGATATGGTATGGTATGGTATGGTATGGTATGGTATGGTATGGTATGGTATGGTCTGGTCTGGTATGGTATGGTATGGTATGGTATGGTATGGTATGGCATGGTCTGGTCTGGTCTGGTATGGTATGGTATGGTATGGTATGGTCTGGTATGGTATGGTATGGTATGGTCTGGTATGGCATGGCACGGCACGGTACGGTACGATACGGTTTGGTCTGGTCTGGTCTGGTATGGTATGGTATGGTCTGGTATGGCATGGTATGGTATGGTATGGTATGGTATGGCATGGCACGGCACGGCACGGTACGGTACGGTACGGTATGATCTGGTCTGGTCTGGTCTGGTCTGATATGGTATGGTATGGTATGGTACGGTATGGTATGGTATGGTATGGTATGGTCTGGTCTGGTCTGGTATGGTCTGGTCTGGTATGGTATGGTCTGGTATGGTATGGTATGGCAGGGAAAAATTTTTCTCTGCTTACACAAACATTTCAAAACAAATAAAAAAAGACAATTTTGCCTCATTTCAACTTCACAAAATTAAATGCAAGGAGGGTTTCTGTTCCCGACTCTGAGTTATGTGTCGTTGACACAAAGTTTGTGTTGTTCTACATGGATCAGGAATGTGTGGCTTGCACACAGAGCTACACAGTTTGGCCCTCTGACATTCCCCCTTTCTCTGCTTCTTCCCAGAACTCTCCCCACTTACACTCTGTCCTGTTCGTTTAAAGTTTTGTTCCAGGACAAAAATGTCGGGTGCATGAGGTACATCTCATCGTGGCATTCTTTTCCACCCCCTGTTCTTCATTAGCATGCATAAGTTTGGAGCAGTTATTTCAGGCGGGACAGAACCCCTCTTTCTCAGAATAATCCTCTGCCCTGGACTGAAACCCTAGCCGACTCTTGATATAGACCCATGGTCAGCACTGGCTCTGATATAGGATTCTAGCACCTGAATCCTCACAAGCCTCCTGCCCAACATGGGACCTGTTGAACCGACTCACCTCGCTGCTGGAAACAGACACACACACCCAAGCACCCCCATAATGGCCTCTGTGATCCTCTCATTTCTCTTTGTGTCTGTAAAATTAATGGATGAAGAATCAAAACTACTTCCAAGGTGGAAATAAGCTGTGTGGTGTTGACACAGCAAAGCAAAAAAGCCTTTTCCCATCTCTACTTTTATATACAATATCATTTTGTATTTTTATTGTATTTAATGCATCTGATTTTTTAAATTGTATCATTATTTTATTAACATGATACATGATGTATCATTTTCCTACATATTACATTGTATCACCTCATTGTATCAT